ATATCTCAAATGCATCTGGAGATCTGGGAGGCTTCTTGCTGTCTGCTGACATTCAAATAATGGAGGTCTATGGCGCCCGAGACAGAAAGGTCCATAAAAGTCCACAAAAAACGTGTCAATATTCCTCCATACTGCTCGTCCAATGTATTCCAAGTGTCCTGAGTGGGTAGCGTCCATAATTTACTTTAAACAAAGTCATTTAGAATGTTTTTAGAGCATAAACAGTAGTGTATAGGATTTCCTAAAAGCGCGTTCACGAGTCTACGGAAACTGCGGCAGACCAAACCAGATGAAAGTGCGCATTCAGCGTCTGCTCTGCCAATAATGCAAGCGTAGAAGAAGAAATGTGCTGTTTACCTGTGCAAAGAAATAAACAACGAAAGAAAAATGTCTGAGGACTTCAGTGTTGAGGAAGAGCATGAGTTCTTTGCCGAGCTGAATGCGCACTTTCATCTGGTTTGGTCTGCCGGCTTCCGTAGCGTCGTGAGCGCACATGTGCGCGCTTTCAGGAAATCCTATACACTACTGTTTATGCTCTAAAAACATTCTAAATTACTTTGTTTCGAGTAAATTCTGGACGCTACCCACTCAGGACACTTGGAATACATTGGACGAGCAGTATGGAGGAATATTGACACGTTTTTTGTGGACTTTTATGGACCTTTCTGCCTCGGGCGCCATAGACCTCCATTATTTGAATGTCAGCAGACAGCAAGAAGCCTCCCAGATCTCCAGATGCATTTGAGATATCAAAAAAGTACTCCAGAGTGTTGTTCAGCATGGGGGTGAGTAGAAAATGAAGGCTATTCATGTTTTGGGTGTACTATTCCTTTAAGGGGGGTAAGTTAGGAAGATACCAAGGGCCCTTGACTGAGGGGGGCCCAAAAGAAGAGAAAACAGATGTCCCATTAGATATTTCAAATTTAAAAATTTAATCCTGCGTACACTGTATGATTTTTTTTGCCCTTTTCAGGCCGATTCTCCAGTCGTGCAAGAATTTTTCAGTCACGCCGAATGTCAATTCAATTCAATTCAATTCAGTTTATTTATATAGCGCCAAATTCACAACACATGTCATCTCAAGGCACTTTACAGCCTGATGGTGAATGGTGTCGTGTACAGGGGGTAACGAGGGGCGATCAGCCTCTAACGACCACCTCCCCAACATGTTTGAAATTCATTCGGCCGTCGTAAGCTGGTGGTGAACAAATCCTGCTGTTGAAGCAGAGCTACGAGCCGGTTTACCAGAACCTGGAACTCTGACGAGTTCGACCAGCGCCATCTTTCACCGCCATCTTTCAGCGTCGAGTCTGACGTTTGGTTTTTGGACGTACAGTGTGAGAACCTGCTTTAGTGCCTCACTAACATAAGTCGACACAGAGACAATGAATAAAACAAGAATATATGTAAATAAGCAGCAGTGAGTAAAAACGGTCCGCAGCTCAAGAATGCAGTGTCCAAAAAAACCCAGTCTGGTTTTCCAAAAGGAACAGAAAGAAAGGAGAAAGAGAAGAGACGGCCTTCAATACCATGACTAGGGGTGTAAATCACATCCATCATGGCGATTCGATTCAGTATCGATTTCCTGACCCAACGATTCGATTATTGTCAATACTCAAGAATACACCACCATACGATTTGATTCGATTAATCGGTAAATTTTTTTTTTTTAACCTTACAGACTAAACAAAGTTTCAAGTTTGAAATAAATCAATGAAAGCTGTAATATCTTTATGCTAGAAGAGCGAGGTGCACGAGAACGCTGGGACCCTTTTTCCAGCTGGATCTCCGCTCTTTTTGGCCCTCATGTCCCTCCGTCGTCGGACTAAACTCGCCCCCACTTCCTCGCCGCCTCGGCCGCCTCTAGACCCACAGCATGTAGCACAGACCACGCTTCAATATTGAGCATAAATCAAAAATGTCTGCATCAAGCTCACTGCAACACACTGCTGTAAGAGTATAACCAGGAAGCGCGGTAGGAGGGTAAAATAGGTTTAGCGCCACCGCAGCATGGGAGGAGAATTACGCCCAGGAACAAATGGATAAAAATAGACCGGAGGAAAAAAAACATGAATCGATTCTCTTGTGGACGTATCGATGCATCAATACAAAACGATTATTATTTACACCCCTAACCGTGACCCAGTTTATCAAGAAAGGTTTGTTACATGAATAGTTGAAATTCTAAGTAGATAATTAAACTGTTGAGTAAAATAAGTTTACCATCTATTGGCTAAAACTACTTAGTTAATCCTCCTAAAGGTTGGAGCGGAATCACATTGATGATGCCGGCCAGCTGCTCTACAACTAGTAACCAACACAGAGGCCGAGCAGAAGCTCATACATCTGAGAATTTATTATTATATTATTTATATATATATATTATTTAGAAATGGGATCCTAAGGAACCAATCAAACAAGAAAAACAAGCAGCTTGAAAGACCGTTAAACTTTCTACGCTTCTATGCATGAATATCTGATCAAGGTGAACCAGTAGCTGCTCAAAAGTGTAAATGCTGCATCCATGCAGAAACCAGATCTATTATAAGAAAGTGGAGGTGAGGATGGCAGAATTGGTGTCTTCAGCATCTTTTTGGGTGAGAATTGTTCTTCAGTGGACTGTAAGGAGGGTGGCTGCGTGCGTCTCTGTTCTTCTGTAGGTTCTGTTTCATAAGATCCCTGCAGCGTGCCGATTGCCCGGCCTGGAGGGTTATTTAAAGCCAGGCCTTGTATATTTAATGAACGGCTGTCTCAGCCAGGAGGAGGCAGGCGGCGAACTCACAGCGAGCAGGAAGCTAATGTCTGTGTTTAAGGAGAAGAACGCAGAGGTTGTTTTCAGGCTCCACATCCTCACTGCTACCAAACAACGTGTGGTTACCATGGCGAACGAGACATTAAAATAGGTCTAAAGATTCACTCTTTCTGCTGCAAAAGACGTAGAAACGCTCTAAGCTTTTTAACCACTTCAGGCAGATGATATATCTATATAGATATATATATATATATATATATATATATATAGAGAGAGAGAGAGAGAGAGAGAGAGATCATATCTCTCCTATCCTGACTTCTCTTCATTGGCTTCCTGTTAAATCCAGAATAGAATTTAAAATAATGACATTTAATGCAAATCACCTCACAAAAAACAGACAGACGATAAAGTGTCCTCATACAGCCAGCTCTAGGCCTTAAGTGATACCCCCCCTCCCTCCATCTTCTACACAAACATCATATTGAGCTGCCTGGTGTCTCTGCGACATCCACATCTAAGGGCCCGACCCAGGGGCCGTCTGCTGGCACCGAGGGACGCGCTGAAGGCCGTCTGACCTTGTGAATAAGTTCATTGATCGAGGCGACAGCAGCTTCAGACTTTGATCTTTACACGCGTGGATCAGGCTGTCTGGGTGTTTATTTAGAGAAGCTGGGCTAGAAAGAGAAGCTTCTGTCACAGCGACATCATAAAGGAGCAGATTAGATTAGAAGTTTCTACATTTATGAACCTTTGCTGCTCAATAATGTTAAATCAGTTGTAGCGACTCCATAGCAATCTTGAGGTAGAGAAAGGGTCCTGTATGTTTATGAAGCGCCGCCATCTTGGTCAGAAATGCTCACAGAATCCAGGATTATGCTTTTGGTGTTTTAATGCCGTCCAGTAGCTTATATAGTCACTCACAGCGGATTGTAACGTTAAGGACATGATGCAACATTTAGATGCTAAAGCAAACGGTCCGCTCCCCTCCCTCTCCTGCAGAGTGCAGGTAAACACGCCCATTTAAGCAATCAGCCGTCACCACGTGTGTCACCACAGCAACTACGCCCCATGTGACACAAACACAAGCTCAACTATCATTATGGCTCCTGCATCCGTTAAAAAAAGGTTTCTGAGCCACAATAATTATCATCAAAGAGCTCTAAGGAGTTCATCTCCATTAGAAAAACGACCTAGAAATAAGTAAAAATTTCTTAAATTAAATGTATTTACCCTTAATTTGAGTAGGTAAATGAGATAGTTTGCCAATAGAATGAGTATTTTTACTCTTAGAATAAGATAATTAGATAAAATGCACTTAAAATAAAACAATGCAGTTGTGTTTTCTTATTTTAAATGTAAATTCTCTTGTTCCATTGGCAAAATCTCTCTTTTACCTCCTCAATCCAAGAACAAATAAACTTATTTTAAGAAAAAATGACTTATTTCTTATGATCATATCGTTCATGATGCAGGTAGAACTAGCAGAAAATAAGCAGATAATTAATAAATAGCTGAAGTTAATTTATAACATGGTGATAGAAGCAGGATTATCAGGTGAGTGAAGGTGAATAAGATCCAGGTCTGGTTGGTGAATTGTCAACAGACTGATAAATGATCCTGCTTAGACTGGAATAGAAAAACAGACCGAATAAATAAAATGATTGAAAAGTGAAACTCAGACAGAAAATCAGCTGATCTGAGGTGAGAAAGACAGATGACCGGTCCTTTGTTATTTTACCGTCCGACCAATCCCATCCCGTCGAAATTAAATGGCTAACATGGCGGCTAACTGATGTCATTTTCATAACAGAAACCTACTATGGAGCAGATTTTACTGCCCCTCCCACCCCATTTAAACCTTTAGACCGGAGGTCTTCAACAGGGGGTCTGCGACCCCTGGGGGCCCACAGAGGCACTGCATGGTGATCGCATAAGGTTTGGTTTATTACACTTTTTTTAACAATAACCATAAAAACAACTATTTTCATTAATCTCAGAAGGAACTATTAACAGACTGGATTATATTAAACTGAACTTCCAATTTTCACCACTGTACGGCGCCAAGTAACCTTCCCTCTGATCACAGCTTGCTTGGTCTCGCAATGAATCCTGGGATATCCAAGGATACATCGGACCCGTCCTTCAAATCGGACAAAAAGAAGGACGCATTTTAAGGCCGCATAACAAGGACTCTCGGAATCCGACCAGACCTCGGCGCCGTGCTATGATGTCATCGTCCTTCGAATCTGGCCTTCTAAGGACGCAGCCCAGGATTTCGAACAGAGCAAGAGACTTTTATTTTTTCAGGCCACTTCCTGTGTCGCCCACATTAGTTAGCCTCTTCAAAGCCCTGCCTCAAACATGCAGTTAAGGATCCTCACCTGTTTCCACTGTGATCGTGGTTTGCTGCTGATGTCATCTCCATGCATTCATCTTTAACACTATTGAATTTATTGCTGGGTGAGTTTATTTGATGCAGTATTATTTTTTTCTTGCGGTATTTCTGTTTAATTGCCCATTAGAGCGTTGTTTTATAACAATCATTGGCATTGTTTACCTGGACCGTCGCTGGGATTCTGCCAGAGCTGATTGCGGTTTAGTCTTTGAAAAGGTAACTTACTTGTTGAATTTTGTGCGTTTGACTCGTTTACCGCGATTCCGAAGCATTTAAGATTGATCTGCACAGCATGTATATTTAATTTTTCCTTTCGCTCTGCTTGAGTATTTGACAACTAATTAGTTTTATTTATCTTGATTGATATTTTGAAAGTGCACTTTAACTTTAAATTGATTAAGCTTGAAATACACTTTCTTTTGTTATACGTTATTTGAATTATGGTTAATTTAACCTGCTTGAAATCTGTCTAATTATTAGAAATATAATTATTGCATTTAGTATGCATAAATTAAATGCTTAAAATTATTGTTTCCTTTGTATTATATTTGCTTTAACTGTTTTAGAAAAAAAACTTGATGGGTTTTCTGACCTTTTTAGGTTTGTTTGTTTTTTTTCCCCTGTCGGATCAGATCCTCATCTGGATCTGAAGATGGCGAGCTAGAAATGGACTTTATGATTTTAAATTAAATGTTTTGAGTCAATTCTCTTGTGTCTCATCCTGTTGCTGTAATTGGTTCCTGATCTGTTTTACGTGTTGTCTTTTCAGTTCAGTGGGCCCCCTGCTTGTCTTTGTCCAGGGCCCCAAATTTCCTAAATCCGCCCCTGGTTACAGGACTAGATAAACAGTTTGTTTTTGACACCAAGTATTCATCAGGGTTCCTACAGCATAAGGCAAGTTAAATTCAAGACTTTAAGACTTTTTAATGCCACTTGAAATAAAAATTTAAGACCAAATTCACAAGAAACACAAGAAAAACCTGCTTGCGACAACTTAACCCAAAGGTTTATTTTAACATAAACCACTGCACTAATGTTTCAAATGTTGAAAAGCTTCCCATACAGGAAGAAAGCTAAAAACACACAAATGACAGATATATTTGAACAATTATTTAACTGAATTCACAAACTTTGTTTTAGTCTTTTTTGCAGCTATTTTTCTTTGTATGGTTTTCTTAGTGTGTTTGATTTGGTGATAAGTGGAGGCGTTGCAGAGACAAGGGTGGAACTAAACTGAGAAATACCGGCTGTTTCTCTGTAACTCCATTTTGACGCTTTGTGTTTCGTGCTTCGCATGTGCGACTCCACTGCCTTAATTGCCATCGTTCTGAGCTTGAATGACTTCTTGCACTAAATCCACTGAGCCTCATGTATGTTCCCTGGTTTTAGCCATGGAGGAAACTCTTGGCTGGAGACAATTTTCGTTACATTTACACTTGCTCAGATTTTCCAGACAAAAAGTTAATGGAGCATCTCCCAAATGTCCCGGCCGCAACAACGCTTTTATTGGTTCCGCTATCGGGACGGAACCAATAATGGCGAGACGTTATTATTATTTTTTTTAATAAAAAAAGATTTTTTTCAATTTTATTGTTTTATTTAGATTACAAAAATAAATTGTAATAAAAATAATCCTATTTATGATGCTTTAAAAAAATAAGACCTACGAAAGACTGATTTAAGATATTTTAATACCAATTAAGGCCTGAGTTTTATTTTAAAGAATTAAATGCCTTTTAAGACTTTTTAAGGACCCGCGGGAACCCTGATTCATATTTTACCTGCAACTCAGCTGTAGAAATCTGCCCCTCTATAAAAGGAGTCACTGAAAATCGTTGGGGGGGGGCAAAGGGAGCGAACCGAGTGATTCTGTCTGCTAAGACTCGGTACTCTCCGCTCGAACACAGATCAGACCACAAACGGTCAAGAATACGCCTGGTTATGTCCAGAATGACCTGTTTATAGATTTTAAAATGTAACTACTGGCAGCTGTAACAGCTTTCTTTTTTTTTTTTGATGTTTTTGATTTTCTGATTGGTTCTTAACTGTATCCTCTGATGTTAATCCCGCCTTTGAAATTGAACCTTTAATGGAGCGCCTTGATCCGCTTCAACCATTGACTTTGCATGTAAACCAGCTGCTTCTGCCTCCTCTGCAGCGTGCGGTCTGAACGTAGCATTAGCTACCTCCAGCCTCACAATAGCAAAGCCAGAGGTGAGGGGGGGTGCACCCCCAAGGGCAGACGGACCAAATGGCTGATACAGAGAAGGAAAGCTTAAAAGCTGATGGGGGCCAATAAAACCCTCTACAAAGTGTAGCTGGTAATGCCTAACCTGGGGGGGGGGGGTTATGAGTGTGTTTAGCAGGCAATGCACAGACTGACAGTATGTGTATGTTGGAGTTTATGTGGGTGTTTGAAAGGAGTTCACATGGGGTCACAGTCCAGCCAGGACGCCAGAAGAATGGTAGCTTTCCCCCCGGGGGGCCAAACAAGAGGTTCAGACACAGGGCACCCACCGAGCGAGCGCTTGGGGCAGAGACATAAAGGGCACAAAAACACGCTGCCCATCACACACACTGTGGGAGAGCGGGGCTGCGGCTGAAAATGTCACCCAGCCTGCCGCAGCGGTCGGGTTTGACATGTTTTCAGGCTCTCCTGACATACAGGGCTTGACTCTGTCAAGATAAACATCTAAAACAGAGATTCAAGCAGACTTTTGGCACAAACGTGTCCTCATATGTGGCCTGTTAGTGTGTCAGGGGCCCTGGCCAGACTGGCCCCTGTGTCCCTGCCTATGAGCCTGGGGACATTCGGCCTTGGCGGTGTCAGAGACGGGTCACTGGAAGGATAAAAGGGGGTTGAAAGGTGACGAGAAGGAGACTGAGGGACGGCGAGAAGAAAGAGGGCATTGTGAAGGAGAGGGACATCATCCAGGAGGCTCTGAGATCAACGTCCAGAGGTTATGGATGAAACTTACGGTCCACATGTTGACGAGGCGGCGGCAGAGGAACGGATCCAGATTCCAGTGGATGCAGGGCAGGCAGGTGATGTAAAAGACTTCGTGTCCTAGACCGGCCGATATGAGGAAGAGGAAGTAGAGCAGCCGGTTCCTCACCTCAAACCCAGGCTTCCTGCAGGCCTACACAAAGCAGACACGTTTAGGTTTGGGCTGGTTAAACACAACAAGCTTTAAGGCTGTACATAAAGTAACATGCTGTAAAAAAAAAGCTGTTTCACGTTTTTAAAGAAATTTTAATATGAGAAAACGATAAACTTCCACTTAGAAAATCCCTTTGGAGGAAAATTGAGCAACACTTTGCTAAAAAGTTAAGATTCAGACAGAAAACAGACTTTTAAATCGGGTTTAAAGACGTATCATAGAATCAGGATCCGATTTCACTCCAGAATCCGACCAGAACTCTCCTAAGTCTTCATTTTGTTTTTTGGATTTTTGTCATGTTGCATAACCCAGGTGTTCCTGAGCTCCAAACTGATGGCCAGAGATGATTCGGACAGACCATGTGGTGGAGAGTAGAGTTCATTGTTCAGACTGCTGATTGGATGGTAAAATGCTTCCTCGGTTTTCTACCAGAGGAATCAGATTATTTCCCCTGAACAGTTAGAGATTACCGAGAGGCTGTTTCGGGAAGTGTAAACAAAAATTTCAGCTCTTTTTGCTCAGATCTAGTTTTGAACCTGGAGTTTCCCCATGGTCACCATTTCTAACCAGCTGAAAGATAAAAAAAAAAAATAGATTTTTTCTACTCTCCTTTAAAGGTTTGTTTATATTTCCGGGTGGATCATCTAAATAAGTGGTCCTCCTACCGGTCAGTCATTCTGGCGATACGTTAATGTACGGCTGTCCCGTTAGCCATCTTTTTCTTTCAGGCGTATATCTGTGGTGAGCTACGGTTTCAGTCATTAAAGCTCACCTTTCTCACTGCGGTTCTTTGAAAATGGCCGAGGGTCGGAAGAGAAAAAGTGTCTACGAAGTTTATGAGAAGGAAAGAAAGGCCTCATAGGGAGATATATCCCAGAATGCTTTGCGCAGAGAGATCTCCTCTCAAAGCATTATGGGATTTGCTGTCACAGCGGCCGGCTGTCGCTACCAGACAGCGGCGAATAATAACAAAGATGGCGTAGGCACCGCGTGGAAAAGGAGGACCAATGGAGCAAAAAGTAGTGATCATCTGTCTGAACGGTCAGTTAACTGAGTTCACTATATATTCCCCGCTGTGTAATCTGCTCCTCACAGCATGAGGCTGCCACTGCCATGTCTCACTGTGGAAGTGGGCGTGCACGAGGAGAAATGAGCTGCTGCATGCTTATTGTTTTTTTTTTTGGAGAGGGCGGGTCTTTTAATAATTCCTCCACAATGCCTTTAACCGAAAGTTCGCTCACATTCAGAATTCAAACTTCTGAAAGTTCTTTAAATGTGAAATGATTCCATCCTGTTCAATAAATGATCAGTGTTTTTAATTCAGAGTAATTTTCATGTGAATGTGCTTTACTGGAGGCATCCATGTTTGTCAAAGAACACTACTGCCACCTACTGGTTAGTGACGTCACGGTGCGGTATCGGCTGTTGATCAAGTGCCAGTGCTGTATCTGGTGTTTGTCACAACGCGCTATTATCCAAGTCATCTTGAAAACATTCTTCTTCCAAATGTTGGCTACATATTACGGGTTTTTTCTCTGGCCAGAAGTTCGATGGCAAATCCTCCCTCTTCAAGTTGGCGATCCAACGACCAACCCGTCCGTGGAGGATCAGGAATCAGAAAGGTGGAATAACTCTTTTTTTTCACTTTTCCCCGATGTATTCCAGCATCCAGCTGCCATGCACGTGGGCATTGTCAGTTTCACTATAGCTCTGGTGAATTTCAATGGTGAAGTCCTCTGGAAATCTTCAATAATTGTTGTTGATTGCAGATGTGTCTAGTAGTTCCCATTGATTTAGCTTGTAAAGCGGGGAGAATGGCGCTAGGCTTACCGCACCGTGACGTCACTGCTGGAAGATGGCAGGAGGAAGGGGCTACTATATTTGGGCAAAAATGGCCGCTCCCAGACTCAGAGATCGCCATGAAAATTGTTTTTATTACTGATTAACGCTAAATTTATTAAATAACCGCAAACATATTAGTTTTAGGTATAAATAATGATCCATTGATTATTCTTCGCTGAACGCACTTTTCCTTTACGGTAATTTTCCATGTATGCAGATTTTTTTTCTAATTTTATCTGGTGAATAAAAGCTAAATGAACAAATTTCTCCATTTATCTCTCAATTTTTCTATTTTTTTTTTTGGTAAACATTTTTTTTACTTAATTTTAGCTTCTATTAGCCGCACATCTATAAACACCCAGATGCACCTGTTACACACATTTCCATAATGATTAGTTTCAGACATGTGACACAGAAGATATCAGAGACCAGAGAGCAGTAAAGAAAAGGCCTCTGATTCAAAACATAGAAATGTTACTGATAGATGTTCTATCTAATCTCAGAGATCCATTGATTGCTGACACATTGTGAGCAAGTTCACAGTCAAACAGAAGGCAGAGAAAGAGGCCAGCACACTGCTTATCTGGCTGCACAGGAGGACCTGAAAACACCTGACAAACAAGAAAAGCCAGTCAAACTTTGCAAACCTCTGAATCAATCTGATGCTTTGTTTAAGCTTGTCCTGAAATCTGGTTGAAGCCAAAAAGCAACGATCCTAATGAAGCTTTTAGATCCTCCTCTGATTTAGGATCAACGAGCATTAAAAACAGGCTTATAATCAAATATTTTAATATATTTGGTGTTTTATTTGCAGAAACCTTTAGAAACCCACCTGAGCAGGACTTGGGTTCTGGTTGTATGTATAGTTGGAGTTTTTGTCCTGGTTGTTCCAGCTTCCCTGCAGCTTCCCGCGGGGTTTCTCTCCGTTCGCGGTTCGGCTCCCGCGGTTCGGCTCCTGCAGCAGATGGAGGCCGCATCGTCTCTGGAACCGGGCCACCAGCTCCGGGTCCTGGAGGAGCTCCAGCAGCTGCTGCATGTCCGCCGGAGCAGGAAGTGAACTGAGCGATGAAGAGAGCGCGCGCGGAGCCGCATCCCTGCAGGTGCGGCTGCTGTGTCACAGGTGAGCTCAGAGGGGCGGGGCTTCCAGGTGTCTGTGCGACCTTTATACCGGGACCTTCAGAGGCGGTCATAAAGTATTTATAGCCGGTTTATGGTTTTATTTCTGGTTGCAGTGGCTGGTGGGACTAAAGCTTCATTAATTGAAGAAAAACTAAAAATACCATAAAACTTGGACTGAATGGAAAGTTTTATTAAAAGTTAAAGAACTGCATAAAAAATAATCAACAAAATCAAGAAAATGACCCAATTGAATAAACTAAGCATACACTAGAGAATACGTGTTTTTTATTTACTCAATATATGTGTTTAATCAATAAAATGATTCATTATTATTCATATTTTTATTTTGCATATCTATTTTATAATCCCCTCCTTTTTTTATTTCTTTTTTATTGAAATATAAAATATATTATAAAAAAAACTGAATTAAAAACATTCTGAAAATAAAATCGGGGTTAAAAAATAAAAGCCTTTAAACTAGCTTTACAAAATAAAAGTGTCATAAAGTAGCACTATGAAATAATTACTTAAAATAAAAATATGTATATACAAAATTAGGCCCAAAGATTTAGAAATTTTTATTTTGTTTTTTATGAAATGTCTCTCCATAAAAGAAATTTTATTTTTTATTTTTTTTTGTATTTCATTCTAAACTTTATTCTCATTCTAGACTTTCCTGCAGAACGCCATTAATTTGCTTTTTAAGTTTTTAACTGTCTGTGAGGTTTTCGGTTCATCTACTTTGAAGTCTTTCCTCCAACCAATTGTCCTTTTTTAGCCTTTAAGAAGGAATGCTCTGTAATCTGCTCCCCACAGCATGAGGCTGCCACTGCCGTGTTTCACTGTGGATGCTGTAATGTTTTTGTTCAATAGTGGTTTGCGCTTTAGCCAAATGTTTGCAGTAGAGCTCACCTTCATCACCACATTTTAACATTAAAGGCTGTAGCTACAGTTTTTTTTTTTTATCAAACTATTAATTTTTCAAAAATACCACATCCTCAGAACATCATCAATAACAAAATGATTAATTTGACTAAAAATGAATAATAGTTTTATATATGTTGATGGGTCCAAAGTGTATAAATATATTACTTCTGCTTATGATGCAAAAATCGACTCAAAAGGATTTTGCACCAAGAGGATTACATTCAGATGAGACGGAGCTCAGACGTTGCCAGATCCTAAAAGCTCTGTGATCGAGAATTAAAATGGCTCCTTCTTTCTGTTCCATCTCTCAGATTCAAGTCAAGTTATGTAAATTTTTTTTAATCAGATGAGCACTATAAAATAGGAGCAATCAGGAGCACATCTCCAATTCAATCACAATAACCCTGGAATCCCTCAGGGTTGTGTGCTCAGTCCACTGCAGTTCACACTATTAACGCACAGTTGTGCAGGATAGGGGACAACCTGTGTGGATAAGACAGATCTGATCCCTGCAGAGGTCTGACAATCTATGATTCACAGGTATTTATTAATGCCTTTTGATAACATTAAAATACTGAAGGTTTCCTATGTTATAACAACTGACAATGTAAATTATTTAAAAAATATCGTATCCATCAACATCTGAATCGGTATGTCTGGCTTTTTAAAGATTGTACATCTGCCAGAAACCTGGAATCTGTGCCCCCCTAATTAATAGAATAGAAATCCCTTTTATTGTCCCAAAATGGGGAAATTCTGGTGTTTAAAGCAGCAAAGATTACAGAAAATATTGTCACACAAATGTGGACCTTAGAAAAATGTATAAGAATAACATAATGAGGAAGAGCTGAAAGATAAACAATAAACTACTGTAAAGTGTTTCAACAATATAAAACTGGAGAATTAATAACCAATATGCAGCTATGGACATTTTTCCAGTAATGGATATTTGAAAATAGCAGCAACATCAGAGATGTGCAGAATGACAGCAGCAGGTTATTTAATTGACTAAGGTAGAAACTGTTTAAAATCAGCCTGAATGGAAGAACTGGTTGAGGTTGTTGGGAACAGTGGTGGTTCTAGAGTCTTCCAGCTGCTGGGAGGAAGGATCTGTGATAACGCTCCCTGGTGCATTTAAATTTGGGGGGTTAAAATAATTTGAATCTCATTAAACATCTAGGATTTTTGGTAATTTTTTAAAAGACCCGCCCTCTCCACTTTCAAAACAAATGTACATGCACAAACCTGTACCCGCTCACTAGACAGAACGCCTATTAAACGTGTGCAAGAGCGTGCACAAGCCCATTTCTCCTCGTGCACACCCTGTTTAGAAGTTGCTGTTCCCATAGCTTATCCAAGCTCACCATGTCTGAACATCCGTCCTAACCCCTAAATCCCTTTATAGAGCATCGACTATTTAGTGAACTCAGTTAACTGACCGTTCAGAGAGATGATCACTGCTTTTTGCTCCATTGGTCACGTAACTCCTCCTCCACCGCGCGGTGCCTGCGCTATCTGTGGAGCTGGTTGACATTTGTATCTATGCTTCTTTTTCTATCTCTGCTTCTGTCTCCTTGAACCCCAGTCGGCCTCAGCAGATGGCCGCTCACACTGAGCCTGGTTCTGCTGGAGGTTTCTTCCTGTTCAAAGGGAGTTTTTCCTCTCCACTGTCGCTACAAGCATGCTTAGTGTGAGGGATTGCTGAAGAGTCAATGAGTCGATGCAATCAGCTGGTTTTCCTTAGATAGAAAACTTTGAATCAATCTGACTGGATGATCTGGTGAACTGGAAAGTGACCTGAGATGACATGATGGGAATTGGAGCTATAGAAATAAACTGAATAGAATTGAAATTACGTTAACATATCACCAGAATGATTGACAGTTAGGAGGACCACTTATTGAGATGATCCACCTGGAAATAAAAGATCGTCCACTATACATTTTTAAGATGTCTGATCTTTTTCTATTTCAGAACCGGCTTTTTGGACATCATGGAAACGTTTTTTATGATGGTCTATTTTATTGGTTTTTTTTGGCGATGTCTTTGCACTGTGTGAACTTTCCAGTAACTCTAAAGCTGCAGTCAGAGGGGGGGATTTATCATAAGGCAATGCTAAGCAATTACCTAGGGCCCCAAGTTCCTGGGGGCCCCATAAAACTCTGTTTCCATGTATAGTTAATACAAATATTCCTTATTTGTGCTCATTAATTATGTTTTTGATCAAAATCTTTTTCGTTAAAATGCCATCAGAACGCTGATAATATTCAGTGTGTCTCAGCCCCCCCCTTCAGTGTCCACCATATTGGATCAGTCCATTTGCTGCACATGTTCAGAAAGGTCCAAACAGACAGCAGCAAACCATTTGGAAAATGTGATTTATTTTGATATCGAACCAACCTTGGTGTAAAGTTGGACTTTAAAATCAGCACCGAGGGATGAAGTTCTGATAAAGATCAGGCAGTGAGAATGAGTCGGCATGGGCGGGTCTAGGCAGGGGCCAACGGGGGCCAGTGCCCCAGCAGATCATGTCCTGGCCCCTGTACTGAAGACATAGGATACGTTCACACTGCAGCCTGAAGTGACCAAAATCCGATTTGATTTTTATTTTTTTACCGATATGCGACCTAAATCTGATCTTTTCATAACAGTCTGAACGACACAGATCCGATTTTTTTCCAATCCGACCCAGGCCACTTGGCTATGTGGTCCTGATTCCGATACGAATCTGATCTTCTCAAATGCGACTTGTGTGTGAACGGTCCATCGCATTCATCTGACCTGAACGTCATTAATACCCAACAAAGGTCACTATTGTGCGTCTTGCTACGCAGAAGCTGCAAGAAAAACAACCACCATGGCGGACGATGATACAGAGAGCAATATTTATGTTTAACCATATTGAAAAGATTCAGATTTTATTGTTGGAAAAGATCGCGAGATGTGCGCTGGGGCTACCATCCATGTTTACATCCGTAAACGCAGAGCACGCTGGCCTGTGACGTCATTACGTCCTCTACTGCGCATGCAGGACACTTGCGTTGTCTGACTGCAGTTCCCACAGGAGATCACATACAAGTCGCATATATTTGGAAATATGAACGGCAACGCAAAAAAAAATCGGATTTCACAAAAAAAAATCAGAATTGAGCATCAAGGCCTGCAGTGTGAACGCAACCTTAATACTCAAATAAATTCTAATGATGATCTGCCCTGAAACAGACATGGTTACTGATTGGTTCTTTGGATCTATTTAATGTTTTTTCTTTACAAATTCAGTTTTACTAATTATTTAAAAACAATAAGGCGATAGCTTCAGTCGTATGGAGTTTTTTTCAAAACATTTGAAGAAAATACTCTAATTTTTAGAGCAGAATTTATATTCAGATTTTATAGAAAAGTTATTTTAACTTAAACTGAATCAAAAATATGTAAAATTCCTAAATTCAGGATGTGTGTTGACCTAATAAGACGTAGAATTTTAATTACACTTAATTGAATAGAAATTTCACTTCATGCAGGTATATTAATATATTTGAATCCTTTGCTCTGTTTTTTATTTCATGCTTTTCTGTTTCCCCATGAAAGCACGCTGGCCCCCTCCTGGCCCCCTGGTACATTCTTTCTGGAGCCGCCACTGTGAGTCTTTGTTCCGGGAAACAATGAGCGGCGCCCCCGGTGGTCCGCACGAGCGCAGAGTCTACGTCACTAGAGGAGGAGAGGATGCTGCTGCTGGGGGCCCGCGGATGATGCGCTCTGAGGAATCACCGCCATTACATCATCCTTTCCCCGGTAGAGAGCCGCCTAACCACCGCCTCTAACCGGAACCACGGCCCGTTTGGACCGAGCGGTTATTAAAACGGCGCTTCGATGTAAGCAGCTGTGGGGGAGGGGGGAGAGCAGGAGAGGCGTCATCAGCATCTGTCCTCCAGCTCCCTTTGTTTGCGCCGTAGAGCGTGAATGGCGAGAGATGACATGGCAGAGGTAGAGCTGGCCGGAGCGGCGCGCGCCTCCCCGGCCTCCACCTACGAGGAGTACGAATGCAAAATCTGCTACAACTACTTCGACCTTGACCGGCGCGCGCCCAAGATCCTGGAGTGTTTGCACACCTTCTGCGAGGAGTGCCTGAACACGCTGCACCTCCGGGAGGAGCGGCCGTGGCGCGTCAGCTGCCCGGTGTGCCGCCACCGGACGCCCGTCCCGGACTACCGGATCCAGAACCTGCCCAACAACACCAAGGTGACGGAGGATTTCCCGCTCTACATCGACTCGGACCCGCTGCCGCAGGACGCGCTGCCGCCCTACCCTCCGCCGCTGCACCCCGCTCTGGTGGCGCTCCGCCGGGAGGAGGCGTCCGGCGCCGGCCAGGCGACCCCCTCCACCACGGTGTCCACGGCCACGACCCTCTCCCAGGACTCGGTGCGCTACGACAGCTGTCAGAGCTGCAAGCGCGTGGCGCTGACCACCGGCTGCGTGTGCGTCATCTTCTCCTTCCTGTCCATGCTGGTGCTGCTGTTCATGGGCCTCATCTTCGTGCACAGCCACAGCATCCCCCCCTCCCCGGCCGGACCCATCTGCCTGTCGGTGGCCAGCATCCTGGCCATGTTCTCGGTGGTGGTCACGTGGCTCATCTGCTGGCTCAAATACAGACCTGACCACGAGACGGGGCGCGCGTCCGCCACCAGTAACTCCAGGAGGAACGCCTGATTGGCTGCTGGCTGTGTGTGTGTGTGTGTGTGTTTGTGCGCGCGCGCGCGTGACCATGATCCTCCCTTTACCTTTTTAGGGGGAATCTGGTCCAGAATGGCCTTCTACCAGTATAGCAAACACCCAAAGGCCTTCATGTTGTTTGGAGCAATATAGGCCAACTGACCCTTGATAATCTTTTCCTAAACTGATGCACTTGACTTTGAGGGGGGGGGCTGACTGGATGGTGGACTCTAAACTTTGCTGGGGGTGTATTTGGTTTGATAAATGAACATGAAGTGCTTAGATCCGCGTTTTAAACCCTTTTCATTCACTGTCCAGCTATATAATATGCACCCCCCCCCCCACCACATTATGACAGTCACTGTATGAAAAATGTCCACAATGTTTCACTCATATCTCCAAAAAAAGCACCCTTTTTTTGTACAGATATGCTGAATTTTGGTTTTGATGGAGGTTTAGTGTGTTTATGTGGTGAAACTTTAAAGGAAAAATCCGATCAGCGAGGAAGAATCAATGGATCATTATTTATACTGAAAACTGATTAATTTAGTGTTAATCAGTAAAAACAGTCTGGGAGCGGCCATTTTTGCCCAAATATAGCCCCTCCCTCCTGCCATCTTCCAGCAGTGACGTCACGGTGCGGTAAGCCTAGCGCCATTCTCCCCGCTTTCCAAGCTAAATCAATGGGAACTACTAGACAGATCTGCAATCAACAACAATTATTGAAGATTTCCAGAGGACTTCACCATTGAAATTCACCAGAGCTATAGTGAAACTGACAATGCCCACGTGCATGGCAGCTGGATGCTGGAATACATCGGGTAAAAGTGGAAAAAAGAGTTATTCCACCTTTCTGATTCCTGATCCTCCACGGACGGGTTGGTCGTTGGATCGCCAACTTGAAGAGGGAGGATTTGCCATCGAACTTCTGGCCAGAGAAAAAACCCGTAATATGTAGCCAACATTTGGAAGAAGAATGTTTTCAAGATGACTTGGATAATAGCGCGTTGTGACAAACACCAGATACAGCACTGGGACTTGATCAACAGCCGATACCGCACCGTGACGTCACTAACCAGTAGGTGGCAGTAGTGTTCTTTGACAAACATGGATGCCTCCAGTAAAGCACATTCACATGAAAATTACTCTGAATTAAAAACACTTATTTATTTAACTTAAAGAACTTTCAGAAGTTTGTGTTCTGAATGTGAGCGGACTTTTTCTTTAAATCTGGTTGGAGCTAATCTAAGCTGGATTAGAAATCATGTAAATAGGTCCGACGTACGGAGCTTTTTTTAGAGCTTTACTGTTTTTACTGCCCACCTCTTCCAAGCAAAGGGAAACAAGGAGACGGCTTGTGGTTTTTGAACCCGTGTTTTGATACTTCACTGCATGTGAGGTCATTCCTTCTTTTTGATGAAAGAGACGGTTTGTCTCATGACTTTTGTGCCTCGCCATATTTCCTAAATGAAGTTAAGCTTCAGTAGATCAGAAGCTCTGGAGTAGATGGGGATTCCCTCATCTGCTCTCACCAGTTGTTCATACTCTGAAAGTTAAACAGGGTTTTTCCAGCGTATAGCACCTTTTTTGTGTACTTTAGAATATTGTAAAAACGTTTCTCTTCGAAGGACAGAAAGGTTAAGCAGGCACAGTCCAGATCGCCACTTCAGCTGCTTTAAAGTTCTCTTTTCTTCCTTCAAAGCCATAATTAAGGATTCAATCCCCTCTACAGTCTGAGCTAGCAGCTTAAAAATGGGTCATTGGCAGTAGAGCTGGCCCCTTTCAGCTCCTCAGGAGTGATTAATTAGCTATGCTAATAGTCTGTTGGAATATAAACTTATTAAGATTATGGTTGAATAGAAAAAGCCTGTTATTTAACATTTTGTCCAAAAATTGGGGCATTTAAATGTTTTGCAGAGACAACCTCAGCTGCAGCTGCTTAAAGGGATCCATGAGTAGTTTTACGTTTTGGCTTAAATCTGGAATAATTTTACTGCTATCTTAAAATGATTAGTTTGTGAAATGTAAAAAGTTAGAATAATTTAAAAAACAATCAACTATATCATTATTTATATTTTTTACCCATGGAGGTCGCCATTTTTCACCTGTGCAAAGCATGCTGGGTAGATGGTGCAGTTAGCTTTGACTGGACTGGAACTTAAGCTAACATTAGCAGAGCTGTTTTTATCGTATTGAGTTTGGTGTGAAATTCAAATGAAGCTTCACTGCATCGCTGCCTCCTGGTGTTGATGAGCCGCTATATGTGAGCTGTTAGTTGGAACGAATAAATGAGATCAGCTTTGGATCCACGGTTTACTATATTAGCTAGAGCTAACATGCTAGTGAAGATTCTCAGTCATGCAGGTCATAGTGATTCCAAAAAATGAAAAATAACAATCCACTGGACTTTGTTTCCAAGTTTGAAGACATTTCACTTCCCATCCAGGAAGCTTTTTCGAATCAAAATAGATGATGTTCTCCCAAAATTTAGAAAATTAGATTAGAAAAAAATCCTGTCTTAAAATCAGAGTTTTTTCATTATCTTCTGCAGGCCAGTTAGTTCTACGTCAGCCTGAACACCTAAATTCATCCAATCATATATCAACAGTCATCTGTCAATCAACTTTTTTTGATCATAGCATCTTGATTCATATGTCGCAGCTAATATACGCAACGGTTGAAATAAGAATCTTCGCAGAGTAGTGGTGACGGTTACAGGTGTATAGTTGGAGAGAATTGTTAGCCGTTTTTCAATTCACTAGAACACGAGTACGGGCTCGTGTTCTTGCCAAGCATGTTATTGAGAAGAACACAGGAAAGTCTGGACTCTGGGAGAACGGAAGCACGCAGAATAAATATCACCTCACGCTCGGCTCGTCTGGAGCTGCATTAAACCTCCTGTTATTAATAGTCTCTAGATAATAATAAATTATGACTTTTTTCATTTAGTGGGGGAATAATAATGAACACAGTCAGATAAACACAAATCAAATGAACATTTTGCCAAATAATACAAAAATATTGCCATCATAGCCAGCAGACGGGCTAGCGTTAGCCCTGGCCGCTGCAGACGGGCTAGCGTTAGCCCTGGCCGCTGCAGACGGGCTAGCGTTAGCCCTGGCCACTGCGGACAGGCTAACATTAGCCCTGGCCGCTGCAAACTGGCTAACGTTAGCCCTGGCCGCTGCAGACTGGCTAATGTTAGCTCTGGCCGCTGCAGACTGGCTAACGTTAGCTCTGGCCGCTGCAGACTGGCTAACATTAACCCTGGCTGCCGTTACCCTCGGAGCTCCATTGGTTGCTGCGGTCCTCTCAACTTCAAATTTTTTTTTTAAATTACACATTAAATCGGTAAATGAATCATATAGTGACACTTAAAAGTATAATGTTCACCACTCAAATGATCTTAAGACATACTTTTATTGAACAAACGCAAACAGAACTTTTAACGTAATCCTTTGAGCTCTGTGAGCGCTCCATGGAAAGGAAACGGAGGAGACTTTATTTACTCGTGGAAAGTCGGGCAACCGTTACATTCGGAAATGTAACGGTTGGAACAGACGCTTCCCTACGACTTTAAATTCAACTCGTTTCAAAATAAAAAGGTTTAACGCAGCTAACTGTGGTTTGGACTGAGCTAATGTTAAGGTCCTAGCATAAATGGAGGAGTGGAGGCCTAGTGGTTAGAGCATAGAGCTTGGAATCCAGAGGTTCTGAGTTCGATCCCCATAGACTGCCACTGTGGGTCCCTGAGCAAGACCCTTAACCCTCACACTGCTCCCCGGGTGCCGCACCATGGCAGCCCACTGCTCCCCAAGGGGAGGGGGTAAATACAGAGGTAAATTCCTCCAATGTGAGATTAATAAAGTTAAATTATTATTAATTTATTTACATACATGACGCTGACACCAGTTTGCCAATATATTATTTCAATTTATAAAAACCAAACAGTATTTTTAGTGAAATTAATTCACACAAAAATAAATGTTTGTCAAAAGAAGTCTGTAAATTACAACTAATTGTGGATCCCTTTCAGGTTAGCTTCTAGTGACAAGGATTTAGCGCTTTACCTTCAGTAAATAGAATTATTATTACTATTCATTCATAATTTAAACCCTATGAGCCTGAAGAGGCTGATTAAAACAGGCAGGAGAAGATGGATGGATTTGATTCAAAGTTGTAAAACTTGAGAGATAATTTTTAAATTTACTTTTTTAACATTTTGCTTCATGCCACCTGCTATTAGGTACCTAAGAATGTGACGGAAAGATTTCTCCTCCCTCTCTGAGGCTAGTTTGTGTCCTTTACTTATTTTAACAGAAATAAAGACGTCCGCTGCTACATTTTTTTTAACTAATCTACATAAATATTGAAATTTTAGTTCTTGTTCTAACACAGAATAAACCATTAAAACAGGATTTAACTCCTTTTTGGAAAGTAAAAGTATTTTTGAATTGAAACTAATGTAATATTTATGCATAGCACGACCCATGCTTCTATTTATCTCCATTATTTAAGTACATTTTCATTGATATTCAAGTAGAGATCCTGTTAATGAATATTGGATTATTTCAGTTCTATTTCTTCATTCTATTTGTTCAGCTTTAATATCATCCACATTAAAAAGAAGTTAGAAAACAGACCAAAACAAAGTTTTCTGAGATTCCAGCAATAGACGTAACTTTAATAGTAAAGCATTTAAAATTCCTCCATTTCTATCACTTTTATAAAGCAAGAAACAGCATAAACACTTTTTATTATATAATTTATAATTCTGGTAGTTTCTTATTATGAGGTAACTAAATCATGGTTATGAGATACAAGTTTTTTTGTTTTTTTTATCAGAGTGGCCAAAATGGGCTTCCATAGTCTCAGACAGATTCCTATGTAAACATAATTAGCGTTAGCGCCGTGCCTAAAACAGTTAAAGCTGGATGCTAAGGTTTGCTGGGCTGCCAATAGAACCGAACCTGATGATGGAGAGCACCAGAACCAAAGGAGCTAATGTTGTTAGCATTTTTAATGTTACTGAACAACACGTTTTAAGCTTATAAACTTGATTTAACGCTAATAATGACTAATATTTAATGGTCACAATAATCCAAGCTGATGCTTTAGGATTGTGACTTTTTAAAAAGCTGGTTTCATGAAACGGCTTTGCTAATAAATGAAATTTTTCAAAAGTTTGCACTCCCCAGATCCCCAAGGAAACCATCTGGACCAATCAGTACAGAGTGATTAAAACTGGGAGTTTTTTTTTTTTTTTTTTGGGGGGGGGGGGGGGGGGGGGGGGGGGAGGTTGATCACTTCTGCAATCCCATATTTCTGGTAAAAAAAAAAACACAAAAACAAAAAGTAAACATCTAATGAGTCTCATTATGACAAAAAGTAAGACCAAATTCAAAAGCCTTTCACTTTTAGAGTATGACTGTCTGAAGTAGGAAGGAAAGAGCAAGGCCAGTTTACCACCATCACTGATGAATGGTTATTAATGATCATTGCTGTTTGTTAATGGTTATTAACGATTATTGATGATTACTGAAGGTTATTAATGGTTATTGATGGTTATTAACGGTTATTGATGGTTATTAATG